CGCTCAACTTCTGCACCTTCTGAACCTACCCAATTTCGTTTTTATCAAAACAAATGCCAATGAGATTTTTAATATGGGGAGATACCCCTACACAAAACTCCACTCAACTGATGGCTATCTACAGTAAAACCCGCTTAAGTACCTCGATGCGGGTACTTAAGGGAACATAATTATTGATGTAGATACATCTTCTTGTTAACTTGCATAAATATGCAAATCCTTGATTACAACATGAACATTTAATGAAGTATACGTAGTTTAAAACCAAGATCGTAGCATTATCTAAATAGATAAACAAATAAAGAAAATTGTAAAAAAATAGATAAAGCAATGGTATGTAATTTTTACAAGAATTAAAGTCTTTAAAAAGTCATTGATTATACATATTTATAGTATAACTATACTGTATACGCACACGTCAAGCTGTGAAGCTGTGTTTTTCTGTGATCTGTTTAAATTTTGTGTTTTATGAAGCTGTTTACGCTTATTAAAGTAAGAAATTAAAAAAAGTGTTAATAAACTTCTGGTGCACAATTTAAAGATAAGTAAAACATCAAAATTTCCCGTAGATTTGATTAATTTAACTTGATATTCTTAATTGCATGTGCCGAGTATTTTGTTTCATATAATATATTGTTGTTGTACAATTGTTTTTGTTTGTGCACATTGATTTTGCTCTTTTTGTCTTTTTGTCATTTCTGCTGTTTCATCTTTGTCACAGCTGTTTGCGTTGTGTTTATTAGGTGTCAAATATACAGTGCATTTAAAACTGTTCGCTACATTGCTTTCCAACTGATATTTACCAGCTGATTGGTTCACTGATTAATACATCGTTTTCAAAACTGTTTTTGCTTTTTTGCTTCTAAAACCTAAAAATAAATATAATTTTAAACATTGCAACCAATTGCAACGTTAAAAGCGACTCCTGTGTGTCATGCTGGCTCTGCGATGGGATTGCCCATATAAAATGTGCTGGTTTGAGCGGTAGAGGGGTAAGGGTCTTCGTTGGTCTTGTCAAAAATGTAGATCAACCGAAGTTGATTCATTTAAATTCTTTAGGGAGTCCAGAAATGGTTTTTCTGAGATCGGGAAGGATCTGTCGGTGCTTGTTGAGAAATTTAAGCATTACGAAAAAATATTTAGGTCTTTCACTTGTCTCGACAACCCT